GGATTCGAACCCGCCACCTTAGGTGTATGTGGCTGGCGCCTTAGCTGCTTGAGCCACAGGCACCGAGCCAGACTAGCTACATTTCAAGCACACAGTAGCCAAATGTAACTGGTGGTTACCTTATTGGAAAGCACTGCTCTATGATGTAGAACCGAAATATACTAAAAGATATAAATGTTTTGCCAGTATCTTTGGATAAAGGGTGTCAGGAGCCTTCAGATCATACTAAAGTTCATTTCATTTCATGAATCAGGGTTTCTCATCTGTCTGGAGCACTATTGGAATTTTAGATGAGATGATTCATGCATTGTAGGATGCTTATCAGAATCTTTAGCAGCCATAATGTTAAATTTGGGTGGCACCACAATCAGAAAATACCCACTTTTTTTTTTTTCCCCCAGTTTTTGGCTGGGGCTGGGTTTGAACCCACCACCTCCGGCATATGGGGCCAGCGCCTTACTCCTTTGAGCCACAGGTGTCTCCCTACCCTCCATATTTTTAAAGAGGAGTAGTATCGCAGCTCTCACTATAGATGAGAATCATTGAGTTTGAGACACCTAGAATACTGGAAGATAGGAATTTTAAAATAACACATAAAGATTTGAGGCCACTTATTAGACGCATTGAATCACCACTGGGAGTACTTGGGTGTTTATAAGGTACTTGAAACTCTGTCATCAAAATAAGATTTGAGGTAGACAGATTAAGCATTTGTCTTTACTTTGTCAGCAATGTCCAGGATTCATAAAAGACTTGAAGTACCCCTCCTACCCCTTCTACCTCTGCCACCAACACCCACATTGTCTACACTGAGTACCTACTATGGAGTAGGCTTTGGATAGATTCTACCTTTTCTGTTCTCTTTAATTCTCACAAAATTTAGAGGTATTTTCAGTTTACAGATAAGGAAATTAGTGAAGTTATTTGCAGAAGATCATAACTTGTAGTTGCTAGAACAAGGATTCAGTATCAGTTTTTTTTTTTTTTAAGAGAGAGTATCACTTTATTGCCTTTGGTAGAGTGCTATGGCGTCACAGCTCACAGCAACCTCAAACTCTTGGCTTAAGTGATTCTCTTGCCTCAGCCTCCCAGGTAGCTGCGACTACAGGTGCCTGCCACAATGCTCAGCTATTTTTTGGTTGTAGTTGTCACTGTTTGGCAGGCCCAGCCTGGATTCAAACCCGCGAGCTCCAGTGTATATGGCTGGCACCTTAGCTGCTGAGCTACAGGTTCTGAGCCTATTTGTCTATTTTTTTGAGACAGAATCTGACTCTCTTGCTTTGGGCTAGAGCACAGTGGTATCATCATAGCTCATGGCAACCTTAAACTCCTATGCTCAAGTGATCTTCTTGCCTCAGTTTCTCAAATAAGTGAGACTACAGGTACACCATCATGCCTGGCTAATTTTTAATTTTTTTGTAGAAACAGGGTTTTGCTATTGCCCAGACTGGTTCAAACTTCTGGCCTCAAGCAATCCCCCCTTCAGCCTCCCAGAATGCTATAAATGCAGATATAAGCCGCTGCTTCTGGCCCTAGGTGCTTTTAAAATTATACTATGCCTTTTGGGGTAAAAATTAGTTGAAGTAGAAGCAGCAGTACCTAAATGGTAGGAAAGGGATAATCCCATTATAGGATTGGCTTTCCTTGCTATCTGTGAAGACTCTCCCCAACCCCCAAGTCTACTTGGCTTGTTTTATAGTATTGACATGCTTTTGGTTTTGGTGCCTCTTGTTACCTCTGGGATGGTAAACTATATGGTCTGTGGGTTTGGGGGAAAGTTACCGTGTGAGGAATTTTTTTCTGCTGAGAGAAGGGATATAAAGGAGAGGCTTTTCTAGTATTCAAATAATTTAGAAATAATTTTATCTCATTCTTATGTTCTTTTTATAGAAAGTTGTTTAGGTCCATATTAAATGGTTCATAGTTTCCCATCATTTTGCTTTTTATTTGACAAGTATTCATAATTCTTGTCTAAAGATCCCTTATTTATTTGAAGCAGAGTTTTAGTTTGTCGCCCTCAGTAGGGTGCTGTGGCATCACAGCTCACAGCAACGTCAAACTCTTGGGCTAAAAGGATTCTCTTATCTCAGCTTCCCAATGCATGACTATTTTTAGAGATGGGGTCTTGCTGTTGCTCGGCTTTATCTCAGCTTCCCAATGCATGACTATTTTTAGAGATGGGGTCTTGCTGTTGCTCGGCTGGTCTCAAACCAGTGAGCTCAGGCAGTCCACCTGCTGCCACTTTCCAGAGTGCTAGGATTGCAGGCATGAGCCACCCTGCCCAGCCTTTATTTTTCAGACAGAATTTCACTTTGTCACCCTGGGTAAAATGCTGTGACATCATAGCTCTTGGCAATCTCAAACTCTAGGGCTCAAGCTGTCTTTTGCCTCAGGTCCTAAGTAGCTGGGACTGACTAGAAATGCCTACCACAGCACCCAGCTATTTTTAGAGATGGGGTCTCACTCTTGCTTAGTCTGGTCTCAGATTCCTAAGATCAAGCAATCCACTTGCCTTGGCCTCCCAGAGCACTAGGATTACAAAGATCCCTTATTTAAAAAACAAAAACAGGCTTGTCACCTATAGCTCAGCAGCTAGGGTGCTGGCCACATACACTGGGGCTGGCAGGTTCAAACCCAGCCTGAGCCTGCCAAACGACAGCTACAATCAAAAAATAGCTGGGCATTATGGTGGGCACCTGTAGTCCCAGCTACTTGGGAGGTTGAGGTTGCTATGAACTGTGCTGCCTCTGCATTCTACTGAGGGCAACGTAGTAAGACTCTGCCTAAATAAATAAATAAATATATCAATAAATAAAATATCTAGGATAGGTAGTGCAGAAATTTAAATTTTTTTCCTCATTTGACTGAGATGATTTGGCAAAGCTGTTTTACGACATATTTTGAGATGTATCTTAATGTAAACTAGTTGCTGCTATCTAACCAAAAGAACTTTTGCCACTGGCTGAAGGGTAAAGATTAATTACATCTGGAATAGTTTTCCCCATGTTGGTAAATTTCATGGTTTGATTCCACAAGCTTACGATGTAATTGGTGGTTTTGGTTTTCTAAAGTCCATGCCAGGAATAGAACAATTTTGAGAATATTGACCATGTATTTTTTTCAAAATGAATATCAAAGTTTAGGAAGACACAATTAATTTAGTCTTGTTAGTTTATTAATATAAACTTCTTGTGACAGTAGACTTATGTCTCTTTTATTAATCATTATTATTATAATTATTAATTTGAGATTATACTGCCTTTTTTTCTAAGTAACGCTTTTCTTTTTTTAACTACTTTCCTTATATGTAGAATGAAGGTAAGTAGTTGTTTTTTTGTTTTGAAACAGAGTCTCACTTTGTTCCCCTGGGTAGAATGCCTTAGCGTTACAACTCATAGCAACCTCAAACTCTTGGGCTTAAGTGATTCTCTTGCCTCAGCCTCTTAGGTTGCTGGGACTACCGGCGCCTGCCACAACACCTGGCTATTTTTAGAGACTGGGGTCTTGCTCTTGCTTAGGCTAGTCTTAAACTCCTGAGCTCAGGCAGTTCATACACCTTGGCCTCCCAGTGTGCAACGATTCTCTAATAACTGTTGGCATTTTTCCAACATTTGAGTAACATGTTTAAGATAATGTAAGATAGGTGCAGTGGCTTATGCCTGTAATCCTAGCACTTTGGGAGGCCAAGGCAGGTGGATCAGTTGAGCTCAAGAATTTAAAACCAGCCTGGGCAAGAGTGAGACCCCCCCATGTCTAAAAATAGCTGGGCTTTGTGGTGGGCGCCTGTAGTCCCAGTTGCTTGGGAGGCTGAGCAAAGAGGATTCCTTGAGCCCAAAAGTTTGAGATTGCTATGTCTACCAAGGGCAACAAAGTGAGTCTCTGCCTACAAAAAAAAAAAAATAATAATAATAAGTAAATAAAAGATAATGTAAAATGGGTGGTGTAGGGTTTAGTGGGTTATCCTATCTTCGGGAATTGCACAGATGATTAATTATGTATGAAGTCACTGTTTTGCCACTTACAATGTAGAATTCAAATTTGGAGTTTTAAACAGCTTTATTGAAATATAATTTACATACCATAAAATTCACCTACTGAAATTGTACAATTCAATGACTTTTAGTAAATTTATAAAATTATGCAGCCATTGAGCGGCACCTATGGCTCAGTAGGAGGGCACCGGCACCATATACCGAGGGTGGCGGGTTCAAACCCAGCCCCAGCCGAACTGCAACAAAAAATAGCTAGACGTTGTGGCTGGTGCCTGTAGTCCCAGCTACTCGGGAGGCTGAGGCAAGAGAATCGGCCTAAGCCCAGGAGTTGGAGGTTGCTATGAGCAGTGTGACGCCACGGCACTCTACCGAGGGCAATAAAGTGAGACTGTCTCAAAAAAAAAAAAAATGCAGCCATTGCCACATTTCAGTTTTAGAACTTTTCTGTGACCCCTCCAAATACTCCTGAGCACATTTCTCATCAATTCCAATTCTAACCCTCAGCAACCACTAATCTGTTCTGTTTCTCTAAATTCATCTTTCCTAAACATAATATAAATGGAATCAGACAGTATATATAGTCTCTTGTATCTGGTTTCTTTCACTTAGCATAGTGTTTTTGAGGTCCTTCCAAGTTGTAGTATGTATTAGTTTTTTGTTGACTAATACTCCATTGTATGGATATATCACCTCTTGTCTATCCATTCATCACTTGATGGACATTTGAATTTGTTTTCTGGTTTTGGCTATTACAGTGCTGCTGTAAACAACGTGGCCTGACTTTTGGCTCACGCCTTTAATCCTAGCACTTTGAGAGGCTGCGGCAGGAGGATCACATAAGGCCAGAAATTTGAGATCTGCCTGGGTAGCATAGTAAAACTTTGACGCTACATAAAATTTTAAAACTAGCCAGGCATAGAGGCACTTCGTTGTAGTCCTAGCTCCTTAGGAGGCTGACGCAGGAGGATTATTTGAGCCCAGAAGTTCAAGACCTCAGTGAATTGTGATTGTGCCACTACAGTCTGGCTTAGGTGGCAGAGTGAGACTTTATCTTCAAAAAAAAGAAAAACAAGGCTCGGCACCTATAGCTCAACTGGCTAAGGCACCAGCCACGTACACCTAAGGTGGCGGGTTCGAATCCCCAGCCCGGACCCGCCAAACAACAATGACGGCTGCAACCAAAAAATAGCTGGGCGTTGTGGCGGGCGCCTATGGTCCCAGCTACTTGGGAGGCGGAGGCAGGAGACTCGCTTGAGCCCAGGAGTTGGAGGTTGCTCTGAGCTGTAATGCCACGGCACTCTACCTAGGGGGACAGCTTGAGGCTCTGTCTCAAAAAAAAAAAAAAAAAAAGAAAAACAATTGTTTTACAAGTCTTTGCATGAACATATTTTTTTCATTTCTCTTGGGTAGAAATCTAGGATCAAATTTGTTATCTGTTCTCCTCTTTTTTGCCTAGATGTCCTCTTTTTAAAATGAGGCACTGAGGCACTGGGGCTCGGCACCCTTAGCACGGTGCCAACCATATGCACCAAAGCTGGCAAGTTCGAACCCAGCTCGGGCCCACTAAATGACAATGATAACTGCAACAAAAAATAGCCAGGCATTGTGGTGGGTACCTGTAGTCCCAGCTGCTTGGGAAGCTGAGGCAAGAGAATTGGTTAAGCCCAAGAGTTTGAGGTTGCTGTGAGCTGTGACACTATGGCACTCTACCAAGGGCACCATAGTGAGACTCTGTCTCCAAAAATAAATCAGGCATTGGATTTTTCTCCCTCATTCTTTCCCTTTTTCCTCATTCTTCTTGCACAGGGAGCACAATACTTGGGAACCTGAGAAAAATTTGGATTGCCCTGAGTTAATTTCCGAGTTTATGAAAAAGTATAAGAAGATGAAGGAGGGTGAAAATAACAAACCAAGGGAGAAGTCAGAAAGTAACAAGAGGAAATCCAATTTTTCAAACAGTGCTGATGATATCAAATCCAAAAAAAAGAGAGAGGTAAGCTTTCTTTCCCCTTTACAACAAACTAGTCTTTTGCTGCGGCCTTTCCCCCCACCCCCCGCACACAGAGGTGTCTTATTTTGGTTATTTCTCCTCAAGAGGATGGTCCTGCAAGGTCATTTTTGAACAAAAGAGCTTCTGGGGAGATATGTTTATTAACTACAGTGCCCCCTTCTGGCTGAGTGAGAAATGTAATTTGTGGCCACTAAATTGTTTTAAGGTGGCAAAATTAAATCTTTGTAAAACATTAAACCACCCTCTGCCTTCTCCGTAAATAGAAGGCATAGTTATCTCAGAGAGAGGAAGGATCTTTGGTGAATTTTTTAAGGTGGAAAAGATCTTTGAAGTGCTTACCACTTTACTTCCTTTTTTCTTTTGTTCCAGTGATTACCCTTATTTTCAGCCCTTTATATTCCCTTTTAATCCTTTTTTTTAATTGAGGTGAAATTCGTATAACATACAATTAATAATTTTAAAGTGTATAATTCAATGGCGTTTAGACCCTATTAGTATTTCTATACACTCCCAATAATAAAATAATTTTCATCTTTTAAACCTTCTTATTCTTCAGCTTGAGAAGTGTATTTGTGAAATTTTGGTTTGATTCATTTGTTTTAATTCTTCTGATCTTTAGCTCTGAAGTAACTGGCTTAAGCACTGTTATTGCCTCTGATATATATTTTCCATCTGTGTGTGCCTGCAGACACACACGCCAGCCCCCAGCTTCCACTCCTTTCATTTATTTCAAGGTTATGAAGCCTTTTGTAGTGAAGGATGTATCATACTCTTAAAGTTTAATAAAATAAAAGCTTAAGTCCACTTTTGAATCTTCTAGCAATACTGCCACAACGTCCCTATTTATCTTCATTCTACTTAGATATCCATCTTTCTAGAGCATTAGTTCTCAACCCTAGCTATACATTAAAATCACCTCGGGGGGTGGGGGGCAGATGCTTTAAAAAATCTCCAGTGCCCAAGATGCACTCCAGACTAGTTAAATTCGAATTTCTGTGGGTTTGACCCAGGCACCAGTTTTAAGGTTTACACAGGTGTTTTCTGGTCTCCATAACAGAAAATGGGAAACTAGCTTTCTAAAAAGAATGAAATGAGAGTGGAAGATGGGAGGTTGCTAGTAAAAGTGGACTCTCCGTTTGTGTCTGTCTTCCTATTTGTTTCCTTGATTCTATTTTGTACAGCCTTATTTTTTAAACTACTCTCTTCTGGTGAGGTCTGTATATCATTATGATCTAATGTACAGACAGAATTTGAGAATGGTTTCTTTTCTCTAATGAGCTGGGACTTGATTTTTTTTTCCTTTTTATTAGTCTTTTATTTTCTAGCTTTTTGTCATTTGATTCATTTTCTAGCTAAGTGAAGAGAGCAAAAACAAAACAGTGTTAAGACTTGACGAGCCATTTGTAATGGTCTATATTTCTACAACCTAAGGTTTCTATATTTTTAAAAAGGAGCAATCTGAGTAATCTGGCTTGGAACCACTGGCCAGTGCAGAGTTTTGTTCCTTGTCCAGGTTCTGAAGCTGCCGACCTTGAAAACAACCCCCACATGTCCCTTACATCATAATGTTCATCTGGGATTCCTGATAGCATTCTCAGCAGTACTGGCTGCTGTCAGGTAGGCAGCTGAGAAGATAGGTAATTGTTTTAAAGGTACAGAAAGGGATTATGTTTCTTTCTTTAGACCACTGTAGAAGAAATTTGTTAGTCGGCATTATGCCTGATTTAAGATTACTGCCTGTGTGATGATTTTAGCATTTTCTTTGCCTAGGCTTTTTTTCCAGCAGTTTGAACATTTTTCTTCATCATCCCCCGCTCTCCCTCCCTATATGGCAAAAGGCAAACTGTTTTCAGCCGCCAGCTATGATTTACAACTCAGTCCATGTGCCAGCATTCCAGCTGTGAGCAGCTGTGTGCACATCTGGGAACTTCTTCCCCTTAAGCATCAGCAAAAGAGGCTGTTTTTGAAAAACAGTATCTTCTCTTGATCCATGCATGGAATTTCCTTTCTATTGGGGGTTCTGGTATCTTTGGGGACCACATGGATCCTGAATTTTCTTTATCTTTCAAAGGAAAGCAAGGTGAACATCAGATCAAAGAGATTTTATTATGTACATCAGACACCAAAGGTAGTTCATTTGGGCAGTCTCTCTAGATCTTTTTTGTGTTACTACTAGACAAGCTTGCATTATTTTCCATAATAAAGTTTTAAAAACTACCTGGTTTGTATAAAATTTTATTTTATTATTTTGCTCTCACTGGCGTCATTACACTGGATCATACTCTCTGCTCCTTGTCTAGATTACGTGATTAGGCCAAGTTTTACTCACCTTATAAATTATCAATGTTATTTTCTTCTTCTCCTTCTTTTTTTAAATTTATGTACCAGTTCTGCCTTCTAAGGCTAGCAACTTATCCACATTAAAAGAAGATAGGCACAGGGTGGCACCTGTGGCTCAAAGGAATAGGGCGCCAGCCCCATATACCAGAGGTGGTGGGTTCAAACTTGGCCCCGGCCAAAAAAAGATGATGATAGGCACAGACCAGAGCTTCCTCTCTAGACAAATGCATGAGTATTGGTGTTTGTGATCTCTAAAATTTGCTGTTTAATAGTATTGGCCTTCCATCATTCTTACCTCTGTTCTTTCATAAGTATGGGTGATTGTGAAAAGTATTAAAATATTTGGTTAATATTAAGGTAAACTAAAAGAAAAAAGATTAAGAGAGGTGTTATGTGAAGTTTATGAAAGGAAAAAGGGTTTAGTTAGGGTAAATATTTATTTGTTATTTCAAAAGCTGCAACTTAGAGTCATCTACCTGTAGTATTGAGGATATTCAAGATGAATGGGATTAGAGGAATTCTTTGATGATGAATTATCCAAAATATTTTACAGGATATTAAAGAGTTTTAGGGTTTACTCTTAATCTTTAAAAGGAATTCCAGGAAGGACATCTTCTTGCAAAAATACCTCCTGGCATCACTGTCACTGGCTGACCTAGTATTTTATTTGTTAAATTCTAAGAACTTTTCTGAATTGGTGACAGAAATGGTACCAGGTGATATTAACTTAGATTGTGCTTTGTTGAGCCCAGGAACAGGGAAATTTTTTTTACTCTTTCCCCAAGCTGTAACCTTTCTTCATCTTCTATTTATAGCAGAGTAATGATATCGCTCGAGGCTTTGAGAGAGGACTGGAACCAGAAAAGATCATTGGGGCGACAGATTCCTGTGGCGATTTAATGTTCCTAATGAAATGGTGAGAGAGATTGGGCCTCACTTTACAGTTGTGTTTCTTTGGCAGTGAGTTGAATTTGTTTGGAAGCTAGGTTAGCAAGGCTGAATAGCAAGACTCTGTTGTCTGGGCTAGAGTGGCATAGCCTCAGCCTTGCTTACTGCAGCCTCAAACTCCTGGCTCCAGGCAATCTTTCTGTATCAGATTCCAGAATAGCTGGGATTATAGGCAAGTGCCACCAAGCCTGGCACATTTTTCTATTTTTAGTAGAGACAGGGGTCTCACCCTTGCTCAGGCTGGTCTCAAACTCTTGAATTCAAGCAATTCTAAAAGTTATATAAATGGTTTAATTTTTTATCTGATTAGAATGCTGCTGATAATTACCCAGAAGCCTTTATTTGAAGAATCACTGTACCCTGTCAGGAGTGAGGAGCTGTATTTAACAGTTTTTCCTACTCAGCCATTATGTGTCACTTAATGATTTACATTCACATATTAACTAGTTTTTTCTATTATAGTCTAAATTTGAGTATCTATCTGCTCTAACTTGTGTGTTTTTCCTCTCCACCTTTGTAAATTAAACTTCTCAACTTTCTAGTAAAAGAGATAGGTATGGCTCTGTGCCTGTGGCTCAGTGGTTAGGGTGCCAGCCACATACACCAGGGCTGGTGGGTTTGAACCTGCCTGGGCCTGCTAAGCAATAATGACAACTACAACAAAAATATAGCCAGGCATTGTGGCAGGTGCCTGTAATCCCAGCTACTTGGGGGGTTAAGGCAAGAGAATCACTTAAGCCTAAGAGTTTGAGGTTGCTGTGAG